TGTTGGCTAAAATCTATAGCATCATGAAATAATCTGCCCATGTGTGCATGTGCTTAAGGAGGGCAAATTATTACTCGAGTCAATAAATATGCATTCTGCCCTTTTATGGTAAAGCTCACAGCAGTGGGTCAAAATACTGGTATTTTAAATAGATCTCTGTACTTCGTGTTGTGAACATGGAAAGAAACCAGGCTCACTCCATGGGTTAAAAACGTGTTGTGACTCTTAGATTATATACTTCTAATGGCAGATGTTATGTGTGAGTTCTTACTTGTTCAGTTCAAGCCTGAGCACAGTCTGTACTGGGGAATATAAAGGTATCTTTAGAAAAAGCTGATAACTCTGTCAGATGGCCTTGTAACTAGAAAGGGGGAAAAACATTATTGGCGCTAGAAATTCACAGCAATTGCTACTCCACTCTGAAGCTACTCGTTTTGTCTAGTTTAAAAAACAAACAAACAACCCCTCTCCCCAAAGTTGGGCATTAAGTTAATCAGGGAGTACCTTTTCAAGATAGGAAACATCACACCTGAAGGCCTGAACAAAACAAGACTGGATAGATCTAAGATTTGACTTAGTACAAAGTAGCTTCCTATCTTCCAAACAGACAATGAAAATATCTAGTCTTCACAGCACTTCTAAATGTGTGGTTTTGCATGCATGCTGCATGTGACATGTACATACATGCAGTAGTGCACTATGTAGAATTAAATAGACATACGAGTTCTGCATGCATTACTCTGCATAAATTTGGAGTGATCGCTTCCTTTGGTCAGTCACCTGAAGGGAATGAGTGTTAAGTAATAAACTGATATACTATTGTAACGCACATTAGATTATTTAGAAAGTAATGATGTGGCCTAAAGCTCAATGAAAGCTGAGTTGCACAAGTTGAACTCCCACTCATATTTATCATCCTATAGAACTTAATCTCGCTATTCAGCAAAGCTAAGTTTACATTTAAGTTATACAGACCTCCAAAGGACATTGGTGGTCTTTTATACTATGCCAAGGGAGTGCTTATGCCGATTATAGCATAGTCAAATATTATTAAATTAAAAACTCTTAAAAGAAACAAAAATTACCTTTGAGACAGGCCAGTTCAAATTTGTCACAATTGTATTTGGAGTGCATGTTTAGGGTGCAGAGTACCAGACCTAATCCTGTCCCATGTCACAAATCAATCTCCTTATATATTTGGGGGGGATATTAAAGAAAGATGTTTGCGCTTTTTCTGATAGAGGAGGCTTCTCATATGGGGTGAATTCATACAGTGGTGCCTCGCTTAACGATGTTAATTGGTTTAAAAAAAACACTTTGCTATGGGAAAACATTGTTAAGCGAAATGTGTTTTCCCATAGAGATGCATTGAAAACCGGTTAATCCGTTCCAATAGGCACGGATTGCCGTCCTTAAGTGAAAAAACCCATAGGAAACATTGTTAAGCAATACTGTACATTGTTTCCTCCATTGGAATGCATTGAAGCCTATTCAATGCATTTCAATGGTTTTGCGATGTCCATTTTTGCAAATTTAAGTGTGTCTTAAAATGTTCAAAAACTGTTTTAAATGCTTGGAATCGTTAGTGCACCTTCTAAAACGGGTGCAGACTTAATTTGGCTTTGATCTGACTTTTTGTTAATTTTTGCTGATTTTTTCCCCCACCAACTTTTGACAGCTGTCAAAATTTGACTGCTTCATGCTTTCCTATGGGGGAGAAAAAAAATTCACGAAAAATTTTCTACCTATACTGTAAAATTGTATAGTCTGGAAAAAAAACATGTGCAATGTACTTTTATTGCATGCTGTGACAGAAATTCTTAATCTTGAACTCTGTACATCACATATCATTGGCATTGTGTGGTTTAAACAGCAAATTCTGTTATTGTGATTTCATGCCCTGACTTCACTTCTCAAGTTCCAAGACAAATGAATAGGCAAACAGTCTTGACTATTGCCTGTTATCTAGGAGTGTAGAGGAACTGGATCACTCTTTTTAGCCGTTTAGGATGTTTTATTATCAAGGTTCAGGGTTCTTATTGGTCATCTTTTTGGAGTTGCAAGAGCCAAAGAACACAAATAAGTTTGTTGTCTTTGTTTGATAAACCGAACCAGAGCTTTCAGTCAACAATCTACTGAATGTCATGCTGAATTGCTGACTAGACACTTTGCAAACCTCTCCATAAATATATTTTGCTTTCCTTGCCCTATGTAAGATGTTGCATCACTGCCAATATCTTTCACACAGAAACATTTGAAAATAGCCAAGGCACACCTGACCGTGTGCATTGTGGGAAGGGCGTGGCAGGAACAGGATGAGCCTTAATGGCTTGAAGCATCCAAACTTCATGTTGGCCACGATAGATGATGATCAATAACAGAGGTTGCTGTGTAATATTTGAAAAGAAATTCACAAGTGTTTCCCCTTATGCACAAATGCATAGATAGCCACTTACAGAACCACAGTTGTGGACAGAGCACCAATCCACAGTTGGGAACTACTACTCTAGTGTGATTTGTGGAAAAGAGAGCCTTCTTACAGTGGTTCAGTGTGAACTGTTCTGACAGGAGTCAGAGAGATCCTGCTGTATTCCTCTTCAGATGCTACTGTGGAATTACTGCTGTGCTTCACAGATCTTTTCATATATCAGGAAGCACTGTGCTTACAATTTTCTGCAAGGTTTTTAAAATATTTCCCTGTTGGCTGGATCATTGCAGCTGTTTTTGCATGGGGATCATAGGACAGAATAGTTAGGAAGGTGACCCAAAATGAAAAATTGCAAGAAACACTGGCACAATGTTTTGCAGTGGTCACGTGAAGGCATGTGATATTGTGGGTCTGAAGGCATATGATGCTGTTACATAATCAAAAGTAAGTTTTTCTCAACCTTGATGATTGAATAGGAATTTGTCTGAGAGCCATGATGTGGGTGGGCTGAGCAGAAATTGCATGAATGGTTTTTAAGAAGTGAAATGCAAGGTTAAGGCCCAACTCAGATGGGAAGTCTCCGCCTGGATGTTCAGATTTTGGCAGTAAGTGACCAGGAGTGTGCTTGTACAGTTAAAGATAGTGTGCCAGCTGTAGTCTGTTCCAGGAGATGTCTCATCTGGCTTTAGTGGACATACGCCTTAGATATGTATGTCCCACTTGGGTTATTGTAATGCCTTCTATGTGGGGCTGCCTTTGAAGAGTGCTCAGAAAATTCAGCTGGTCCAAAGTGCTGCAATTAGAGTGTTGATCAGGACCGGTTATAGGCAGCAGATATTTCCTGGTTTCCAGGCTCAGTTCAGATAGATGGTTTGTACCTACCAAGCCTTATATGCCTTGGTTTCAATGCATTCGAAGGAACACATCTCACCATATGAGCCTTCCTGGTTTCATAAGAGGGCCTTCCCTTTCTCCTGCCGCCCTCACATGAATAGCTGGTGCAAGTGAAAGAGAGGGCCTTCTCAGTGACAGTTCCCAGATTTTGGAATGCACGCCCTTGGGAAGCAAGGTGAACCCACCCACACTCCCTCCTCTCTTTCAGAGAATGGGTGAAGATCTTCCTTTTAGATAGCCATCTAACTACTGTACTGAATTGGACAACGAAGAATTTTTTATTTTGGAATGCTGGACATTATTATTATTGCTGTTATTTTGTGAATTTTGATACGTTTCTGAGGCATTTTAACTGCTTTAAACTAAACATTTTAATATTACATGTTTAATTTTTAAACTATAATAACTGTGTTTTAGTTGGCTTGTTTTATTAATAATTGGTAAGCTATCTTGTCATCATCCCCCCCCCCTGAGAAAGGTGGCATAAAAATGAATAAATATCCTTTTGCTTCCTATTGATGCATTCCCCCCGTCTGGATTGAAGTCTGACTGTTTCCCATATCAGGATACCAGTGGAGCGAGTGACATCCCAGGAACAATAATATTTAAATAAAATAAATAGAAGTGTTTCAAGCTAGTCTTTGAAAGAAATGACTCCCCCCCCCAAACTGGAATATTTTCCCCCCAACTGGAATTCCCAACAATTCTAGTCGGGAAAGCATCTCAGGGACCCCATTCTAGCATTGTACAGGGCTACGGATAAAGGGCAACGGCAAGAGCTGAGTAATTGGAACTAAAATGCCAGGACCTCATATAACTGCAAGCAATTTGGACCTTTCTGCACCACGCATATAAAGCATTGCTTAGGTTTAATTTTGTTTCTTTTGCCTGTGTATAGTTTCAAGCATACCTAACACAATTCAGTGTATAACTGCAAGCAATTCGGACCTTTCTGCACCATGCATATAAAGCATTGCTTACGTTTGGTTTTGTTTCTTTTGCCTGTGTTTCAAGCATACCTAACAAAATTCAGTTTCTTGCCTGTCTGCTCAGATGTAAGCTTCAGCACAATAAGTATGCATAGCACAGCTCAGGTCTATGCAGGGAATTAAAAACATACATACTTTTAAATATCCACCTGTATTTGATTATTGATTGTAAATAAAAGTAGAACAAGCTTCATTCAAGCAGGAGCTTGCAAGCTGAATGGGCAGTTTCTACAGTCTTGTATTTTCCCCACACCTGCTTTAAGGGAATGTGTATGCATACGACTGCTTAACATTAACTCTTTGGTTGGATTTTTTCCCCTGTAGTGAAGCTCTCGTCCCCTTTCCCATTTGTCCATTTCTCTCTATTTGCATATATTTGGAATTCTATGCATATGATTGCTTAACATTATCTCTTTGGTTGGATTTTTTTTCCCCTGTAGTGAAGCTCTTGTCCCTTTTCCCATTTGTCCCTTTCTCTCTATTTGCATATATTTGGAATTCTTTCTGCTATAGAAACCTTACTCCTCTCTTATTCTGAGATTAAGGCCTCATTCAAACATAGCTTCTTCCACATATCAATCGTAGCTCAGTACCACACAGTTGAAGACTCTGTGAGGATGTTATGACTGATTGGTGGTTGGAGTGAGAATTTGGGCTTAGGACGTCTAGGTTCAAGTTCCCACTAAGCGATGAAACTCACTAGTTCGCCTAAGGCCAGAAGCTCTCTCCCTACCTGCCTTACTTCACTGGGCTGTTGTGAGGATGATGTGGAGATAAGGAGAGCCAGGTACAGTGGACCCTCTACTTAAGGAATTAATCCGTATTGGAATGGTGGCTGCAAGTCGAAAAGTCTGTAAGTCGAGCCGTTTGTAAGTCGAGGGTCCACTGTATTCTGCTTTGAATTCATAGGAGCAAAGGCAACATATAAATATAACTAACAATTAAAATAATAAATTGGTGGGATTGCAGCATGGAAAAGTGTCTCTTGTATAACTCTGGCAACCTTCATAGAAAATTTGTCATTAGCATTTATGCTGATCTCCTCAACCACACCCTGTTTAAGAATTAGTGTTCTTCAGACAGCAGAAAGATGACATTAAGTTATAAAACAGCTATATATTCAGTTTAATGATTCTGAATGTTCCTGTTAACAGTCGTTTATTTTCTGGGTGAGTGATGTTGCAGACTGATTCAGAGCCTCAGATGTAGGGGGAGAAGTAAATGCTATCCCCATCAGGGAATGCTATTATATATTGTTTGAGTGTAGTAAGTAATAGGAGTGTACATTATGTTCCACGATATGTAGCAGATTAATCATATGCCAGTTTTTACCTCCATCCCCATTTTAATGGTTCATTTTAGTAGCAGATGGTGGGGAAAGCGCTTTTTGCCTATAAGAGAGTAAAGTGAGGCCAGAACCAAAAGGAATCAATTCATGAAATGGTTCCCCTCCCTCCGCATGTACAAACTTCACTGACACCAAAATATTTTTCCTGATTTGCAGTGGTAGCCGTTCTTCTAAGACTTTTAAACCAAAGAAGAATATTCCTGAAGGCTCCCATCAATATGAGCTGCTGAAGCATGCAGAGGCCACCCTTGGAAGTGGCAACCTGCGGATGGCTGTTATGCTGCCTGAGGGTGAAGACCTCAATGAATGGGTTGCGGTGAACAGTGAGTAACTTTCCATTTTCCCTTCAGTTTGGTTTTGGACACTAATATGGGCTGATGCAAAGGCTGGGGTGGGCAACTGACTTTTTGTGTTTTGCACGATAGACTGTTCCCTCAGGTTGTCAGCCTGACCTTAGAAAAGTAATTTTCTTGACCAGAAGTCCCAGAACCTTCCAGCCAGTAGTCGTGCTGGCTATGGGGCTCTGACAGTTGTTGACCAAGAGTACAACTTTTTCTAACTTTGTTGTTAACATAAAGAAGCTCGGCAATGACAATTATTACATTTATTTTTGGTAGCCGAAAGCCTAACCTTTAGCAGTGGCAAGAAGTCACTTGACTTTTAGGGATAAGAGAATACACCATGGTGTAGCAGGTACATAATTGCAGCCTTACTTCAACATAACATAGGGGCAGTTATCCTCAAATAAGAGTGTGGTTTTAGATGCACCATTTAGCCATTTAAAGGTCTACCTATGTTGGTTTGGCTTACTAGATTACCAGTATTTATGGTTGCCACAAACTCGTCTCTCACTCTTCAGCTCTCTTGCTGAATCAGAGATCTTAAGAGAGGCAATTATTTACTTAGAGATGCACTTAAAATGTAAACTCATTTGTAGAAGATGAGAAAGAGCAGGGACTCTCTGCTTATGGTTGGACAAGATTGCTGAATCTATGCAATAAGTGATATTTTTAAATAGGGGGAATCATGCAGTGACAAGAAAGGACTCTCAGGACCCCAGAGAAGAGATAGGCTCTGGATGCAGAAATCAGCTTTGAGAAGCCCTGTGGGAGATGATATAAAATGAGAAACAGACTTGTTGGAGGGAAGGAAGAAGAGATGGTTTGGAGTAACATGCTGGACTGACAGAAGAACCCTTGGCACTTCGGGTGCCCAGTTTACCTGGCAGAAGTCAATTTGCCAGCTCCTATGTAATAGAGGAGCCTGAACCTGAGGCATGCTGCTGGTCCTAGCCCTGGAAGCACAGGCTGGACCAGAGCTTGAATGTGCCACTTCCACCCAACCTTATACAGTGGTGCCCCATATAGCGAGGTTAATCCGTTCCGGATTAACCCTCGCTATACGGAATCATCGCTAAACGGGTAGGGGAAAGGTATTGGAACGCATTAAACTTCGTTTAATGCGTTCCAATACCTTCGTTACTTACCCGTTCAGCGAGGATTCCAGGTGCCGGCAGCCATTTTCGCGCCTTCGCTAAGCGAGGGCAGGGCGCAAAAACGGCTGCTGGCAGCCATTTCCAGGCTTCCGGTGGCCATTTTGGAACTGCCGATCAGCTGTTCGGCTGCTCCAAAATGGCCACTCAAATGAACACTACACACCTAGGAAGACGACTTAGCTGTGAATCTATCTCTGACACTTTCCAAGGGAGGATAAAGGAGACAGGGTTGACACCAAACACTCTGAAATCCAGACTTGCTGAGGTTAGACTTGAACTGAGACTACTTTCCTGGAAGTGAAAGGATCCTGAGGGAGATTCTGCCAGGCCTGACAGAAGGACTTAGGGAAAGGTTAGAGATAAAGTGCCGGTGCTTTTGGCCTCTCAAATGAACACTACACACCTAGGAAGAGGACTTAGCTGTGAACCTATCTCTGACACTTTCCAAGGGAGGATAAAGGACACGGGTTTGACACCAAACACTCTGAAATCCAGGCTTGCTGAGGTTAGACTTGAACTGAGACTACTTTCCTGGGGGTGAAAGGATCCTGAGGGAGATTCTGCCAGGCCTGACAGAAGGACTTAGGGAAAGGTTAGAGATAAATCTCCGCTAATGTCTTTACCTTTGTGTGGCCTTGAGCGAAACTTCAGCATCTTAATATCAGCCCCTATATACCAAACACTCTGAAATCCAGGCTTGCTGAGGTTAGACTTGAACTGAGACTACTTTCCTGGGGGTGAAAGGATCCTGAGGGAGATTCTGCCAGGCCTGACAGAAGGACTTAGGGAAAGGTTAGAGATAAATCTCCGCTAATGTCTTTACCTTTGTGTGGCCTTGAGCGAAACTTCAGCATCTTAATATCAGCCCCTATATATAATATATACAGTAGTACCTCGGTTTACGAAATTAATCCATCATCCGGGACGTTATGTAATGCGGAAATTATTTATTTATTTATTTATTGGACTTGTATACCGCCCCATAGCGCTACAAGCACTCTCCGGGTGGTTTACAATTTTTAATTATACAGGCTACACATTGCCCCCCCAGCAAGCTGGGTACTCATTTTACCGACCTCGGAAGGATGGAAGGCTGAGTCAACCTTGAGCCGGCTACCTGGGATTTGAACCCCAGGTCGTGAGCACAGTTTTTAGCTGCAGTACAGCATTTTAACCACTGCGCCACGAGGCTCCTCGTGTGGATTGCCGTAGCAGCAGGGGTAGCGCTAGAAACCTCCAGGTGCAATGCATCTGAAACGTGGATTGCCGTAGCAGCAGGGGTGGCGCTAGAAACCTCCAGGTGCAATGCATCCTTTTTGTACAGCGAAAACCCCCATAAAAATACAAACCAAGGCATTATTTCTTATGAATTTTGGCTCATAAACTGAAAATTACATAAAATGTATGTAAACCAAGGTATGCCTGTATGAGAGTATTTCAGACTTCTCTTCAGCTCTGCATTCTAGGGAGGAATTATGTGCCCTAGATAAAGGGGCACCGTGAACCTTGCTGCCCTGTTTTGCTAAAGAGAGAAAATCTGAGAAACTGTACTTGTCTAAAGTCTGTGCAATTCACACAGAAAGGCAGACACTTCTTACAGCTGCACGGTCCTTTCATATGTGATAGGATGAAAGTACCATTTTGGCATGAATATCAGCAGAGCAGTTTTGAATACCTTGATGAATAGTTTATTCCTCATTTCATTTTGAGCTGAGTATAGCAGACTGACAGTAAACATCTAGAACAGGGGAACTGTAATTTTGATGTTCCTTGGCCAGAACTGAAGTAGATAATCAGCTCTGCTGAATGGAGACAAGATCTGGATAGAGAGTTAATGCTTATGGCATTGAAATTGTCATAATCCGTCCTTCTGCAGTTAGACTGTAGAAAGTTACAGATCCCACAGTGCTGCTGTTGTGTCTGCATCCAAACTAAAACAAGACTAGCTGCACAGCTGTGCCTGTTTTCAGGGTCAGTATTTTAAGTTTAAGTCGCCAGATAATCTCTTGAAAAAAGCACTACATAGATAACAAACAGTGGAAGAGAATCAGTTTTATCATATTAAAAGTAAACAGTAATTGCCCTTTCCCAGTTTGGATGATAGCAATAATGCAGTAGTTTCTTTTTATTGTTACCGTAATATTCAAATAACTTACTGGAATTGGGGTGGTAAACATGTCTGACAAAGTGGATTTATCCGTGGAAGTACACCTTAGAATATAAAACTTAATTTTTAAGGTGCCATTATATTTTTGTTTTGTCTGGATAAATTTCTTACACAGTTTGTAGGTTATCTACTAAAAAGAATGTGCTTTTTTTGGGTAGCTGTGGATTTCTTCAATCAGATCAACATGCTTTATGGGACAATTACAGACTTTTGCACAGAGGAGAGCTGCCCAGTGATGTCTGCAGGTCCAAAGTAAGGTGTCTTGCTACATTTCAATGCACCATTAAAACTGAAATATAAAACATAGTGTTCTGCAGAGAGAAACGATTATCTGTTTTGCATAATTTTGGTTTGAGCCTGATACCAAGTTTTGGCAGATTTATATACAGATACGTATATTTGTTGGGGGAAGTGTAGATGAGAGAGGGCGGTAGAGAATAAACACGATTAAAGTTCATGTGGAAGCAAAGGCAAAATGCAGAGTTTTGCAAGGTCTTTCTACCTGGGTCTACTCACACACACACCATCCCCCCGGATCTCTACAACTATAATACTAGGAATTGCTGAAAGCAAAACGCAAGTCAAAATGTGCTGTTTATATACCACCCCATAGCACTTAAGGCACTATCTGGGCCGTTTACAAGTTAATTATGCAGGCTACACATTGTCGTTGTGTCTCTCCCTCTCCCCCCTCCCCCCCACCCGTGGTGAGCTGGATAGTCATTTTACTGACCTGGGAAAGAATAGAAAGCGGAGTCAGTAGAGCAGTCTTAACCACTGTGCCAGGAGGTTCAAGGCAGTGAGAGAAGAGGAAGAATAAACATGAGATGAATGAATCAGTAAAAGAAACCACAGCCTTTAATTTGTAAGACTTGAACAAGTTTCTTAAATGGCCACTTCTCCTGCCACATAACTTCCCCTTTTAAAACTGGACACACTTGTAACTGGGGTCATTTGGTGACTTGCATCTTAAAGGAAAAGAATGATCATGTGATGATATCCAAGCCCTCAGCAGCACCTATGTAGTTCCCCCTTCAATGGCATTCTGTTAAAAACAAGATGAAAAGAAAAAATATTTACTTAGTACACATACATCTCAAATAATGGTTGAAGGGATTTCTTTGTTTTCCAGATATGAATACCACTGGGCAGATGGGACAAACATAAAGAAGCCAATCAAATGTTCAGCACCAAAGTATATTGATTACCTGATGACCTGGGTTCAGGATCAGCTGGATGATGAAACGCTATTTCCTTCCAAAATAGGTAATTTTAAATGCAGGCTTTATTGTTCTTTTTAAACACAAAGGTTGCATGGTTTAATTTACAAACTATGGTCATCTGTATTTTTCTAAAGACAAAGGGGGCAAAAATGCCTTCAACAAGGGGAAGCCCCCCAAATTCTGAAATACATATATAAAAGCAAGCAGCTGTTTAATGTTTAAATTTGGTTGCATTGTTTTCAAAGCTCATTTCAACCTTGCCAAAAAAGAGTAATTGTGTGGGCCAAAACTTTTCTAGTTTTTAACAGTCCTTAAATAAAAGAAGGGATGTGTTGGCACTGCAAGTTATACCGCAGAATCCTCTATGCTGCAAGGTCAGAAAACCAGCCGTCGTAAGATTGAATCTATGTGACAGAGTGAGCTCCCGTTGCTTGTCCCAGCTCCTGCCAACCTAGCAGTTTGAAAGCATGTAAAAATGCAAGTAGATAAATAGATATCACCTTGGTGGGAAGGTGACGGCATTCAGTGTCTAGTGGCACTGCAAGTTATACTGCAGAATCCTCTATGCTGCAAGGTCAGAAAACCAGCCGTCGTAAGATTGAATCTATGTGACAGAGTGAGCTCCCGTTGCTTGTCCCAGCTCCTGCCAACCTAGCAGTTTGAAAGCATGTAAAAATGCAAGTAGATAAATAGATATCACCTTGGTGGGAAGGTGACGGCATTCAGTGTCTAGTCGTGCCGGCCACATGACCACAAATGTCTAGTCGTGCCGGCCACGTGACCACAGAAACTGTCTTTGGACAAATGCTAGCTCTACAGCTTGGAAATGGTGATGAGCATCATGCCCTAGAGTCGGACATGACTGGACAAATTGTCAAGGGCAACCTTTACCTTTAAATAAAAGAAAGAGTAATTTGTTGTTTAAGTAAGTGATTATATTTTCTCTGCTTTTTTCTAATATTTAACAACAATATATATTTTCCTTCCTGAAGAAAGAGCAAAGTGAGGAATAGCACAAGTACCACTTTATTTCAGCACCACTTCACTCTGTTAGCTGGTGTTGCTAAATAGTCAATTTTAAACAGATGTAATTCTGTAGAGAAAACTTGGGATGCAAGTCTGTGATGGACTCTACTAGTTTATGAGCTTGATAGGAACTCATCTGGTGGTTTCCTATGCTTCCTGCAGGGGTACTTTTTAGAGACGTCCATGCCTTTATAAGGTCGTGTCCTGTTACTTCTCTTGTTTCTGTGCTGAGACATAAACAAAGAGCTGTCATCTAGAGAAGTCCTGATTGTGATAGTATTGGAACGTTAAAAATGAAGGCTTGTTTTGTTGATTTCTAGGCGTCCCTTTCCCAAAGAACTTTATGTCGGTAGCTAAGACCATCTTAAAGCGACTCTTCAGAGTGTATGCTCACATCTATCACCAGCACTTTGATCCAGTCATCCAGCTTCAAGAAGAGGCACATCTCAACACATCCTTCAAGCACTTTATCTTTTTCGTTCAGGTAAATTAAGACAGGGGTCACTGTGATATTTCTGTGCAAGATGAAACTGTTCCTCGTTGCATCGGATGACACCTGTGGTTGCAAAAACAAGAACCTTTCTATTTTTCAAAGCAGTTCTCGTTTATCATGATCTTATCGTTGTCGTCATGGTGGATCGGTTATTCCCTATTCCCAGTTAAATTCAGTGTCATTTAAAAAATAAATCCCATGTGTATTCGCGAAGGCTTTCACGGCCGGGATCTAATGGTTGTTGTGGGTTTGCTGTCCTCTGAAGATGCCGGCCACAGAGACTGGCGAAATGTTAGGAAAAACCACCTTCAGAACACGGCCAAGAAGCCCGAAAAACCCACAACAACCAAATCCCATGTGTGTTTGTATTCAGTATTGCATATGTACACAGATGGTGGAAGCCTTATGTGGAGAAGAGAATAGAGATAGACAAAACCACAGCCACAGTAATGCAACCATGATGGGCCTGTCTTTTTAGGGTGAAATACTTGAATAGTCACATTCTGTCTTAGTGATGTAATGACTGAAACCCTGATATTTAATCTAGTAAACCACAACTAGGTCTATTAAGTTTAATGGAAGTTACGGAGGCGTTGACTCATCAACTCCCTACTGATTCAAGGTATCTACTCTAGGCATGACTTTACTATGCTAAGTAATAGGATTTCAACAAGTATGTTCCCATTAATGTGACCTGGATGGAGAATTACCTAAATACCAGGCAGCATGTGCTTTAACGGGTTATTGCGGTACAGGCATGTGATGATTTGAAGCACAAATGGTGCCCTGTCCTTGCTTGCCTGTTACGGAGTTCTATCGTATGTCGTCTACAGATTTCCATTATTGGATGTATTCATAAACATTCGGCCATTAATTTACTTATGGCCCAACATGATAAAATACTGTGGGCACTTCACTATCTCTGCAGTTCCAAGTGTAAGTTCTGTACAGTACCTATCCAGTGCATCAGGAGTGTTTCTAAGATCTATCTAGGGAAATGTAGCTCATCCCATCTACCCATGAAAGATTACCTTTGACCATCTGCATATGAGATGAGAGGAATACCTTCTTGTTTTATGTGAATGTGTTTCTCCACAATGACCATTTAGTACTCTATACTTTCCCCATTCTGGTGGGGATCTTATAATCTCAGTTTCTGTGCTTGTCCTCTGAATCTGCCGGCCACAGAGACTGGCGAAACATTAGGAAGAACAACCTTCAGAACACAGCCAAAGAGCCTGAAAAACCCACAACAACCATCTATGTTTATTGTCCGTGCTTATAATTTAACTTTTTTGATTGGCTGTTTTCCTTCCTAGCATAATCCACTGTGATTTGCCCTTGGTTGAGTTACAGTAACACTGTTGGTAACTAATGAGTCTCCAGTTAAACATTCAACTGAGATGTTTTATTTCTACCTTTCACAGGAATTTAACCTTATAGACAGAAGAGAACTTGCTCCACTTCAAGAACTGATTGAAAAACTCACTTCAAAGGACAGATAAGCAGAAATGTATCTGTGCGGAATCACTTGTTTATTTAAGCAGGCATGTGGTGTTTTAGGGATTTGGGCTGTAATTCTCTACACACTAGTTGATATCCATGGGACCTACTCCTGAATAAATATGTGGAGGGTTGCAGCCTTTTAATTTTTTTGGTTTTAGAAAGAAAAAGAAACTTGTTCTGCATTTATTTGGGAAACCTAGATCCTTTTCTGTGCTTTTATTAGAGGAACTTCTTTGTCTTTTAGTGTGAGAGACATGGCTTTCTGTTATTGTTCATTGTGTACTTTTTAAAAGAAAAAGATGTGTGTTTATAAAGGAAAATAACATGCTTGTTGGGAAATGTGACACTGCTGGTTCTATGGGTTCTGCATTGCCAGTTGTAGCCCATTCTCAGAAGATCCTTAAAAAGACTTAACCTTCTCTAAGTGCCTTGGCAGACTCTCTTCTGAGGTACAAAGCACATACAAAGAACATTGATGGAAATAGAATACAGAAATTGTTACCCAGGATATTTACTACCACGTGTTATATATAAATAAATATGTGTAAAAGTTTTTTTTAAAAAAAGCCATAACTTACCAATGATCTCCAGCTTTTAATATAATGCAATGCCTTTAGAGACAAATGCAGGCTGTGGAAGAGGGAATGAGTGAGAGGCTGATTTTTTTAAAAAAATGTACTACTCAAAAACCCAGCCAATAAGTTTTGCATGAATGAAAGAACAAGGATAGTATAGTCTTGACCACTCTCTCCTTTGTTGCTTACATTGGTTGTACAAACATTAAATTTAATTTAGACCAGCTAGTTAGTTTATGCTGATGATCTATGAAGGTCAAATTGTAGTGTAAACTTTCCTGCCTGATAAATTGGCAGTCTTGCAGAAGCATCAGCATTAGAAGTAGGAGTTGGTCACAGGAACAGCCACGATGTTAATACACAGCCTTTAAAAGCTTGTAAATAAATCCACAGTAGTCATTCTAAAATTTGGGGGAAAAGCCCACTTCACTAAAGAGTACAACTTTCTTAGCTTGTCCTTCCTTAAATAACAGACTGTCTCAATCCCCTTTTCATATGGAGTACTTGCCATTTCATTCATTCTGACCACTTTGTCCCTTTGCAATTTCAATTCTACAAAGATAGAATAATTAAATGCATCCATATTGTTATGAACTAAAGGATACATTTAAATTTTTGTTCTTGATTTAGATAATAGAATAATTGGGTTGAAAGAGGCCTATAATCCCATGGAGACCAACCCCTTTGCTCAGTGCTGGGATCCAAATCAAAGATCTGACAAATGGTTGTCAGGGAAAAAAAAAAGACCCACCCACATCCTGATTTAGATATATTCACTTAGTCACTTTGATTTTGATGTTTTCTGTCTCTCTCCCCTCTCATCTCTTTTTCCCTCTCTTAAAATCAATAAGAGATATTCTCATATAATCAGTCTGGAGTAGAATGTTTCAGAATGTTATAGTAGCATAATGACAGAATCATGCCCAAGTTGTTTGGAAGTTTACACTTCTCAGTCTATAGCGTTAAACCCAAAAAGTCCTGATTTTTACAGACTGACAATTGTGCAATTGTCTAAAACAGTGGTCCCCAACCTTGGGCCTCCAGATGTTCTTAAACTACAACTCCCAGAAGCCTTCACCACCACCTCTGCTGGCCAGGATTTCTGGGACTTGGAAGTCCAAGAACATCGGGAGGCCCAAGGTTGGGGACCACTGGTCTAAAACATCAATTTGGGTAATATTATATACACAAAACATGGCTTTATCACATACCTTTCCCCCCACATGTTCTATTATATATGTCAGGTCTAATGAAAGTTCAGGCAGGCACAGATAAGCAGTATATAAGCAGGAATAATTCTTACTAAATTGCTCTTCTACCTTGCTTCAATTTTAATCTTCCCTAAAAGAGAACTGTTTTTTAAGTGGTGGATGAAATTTCTAGAACTGGGAGTCTTAGGGTATTTTGAACAGTGTTTACTTTGGGATTGTAGTTAGTACATTGGCCATAAATATTTGTATTACATAATCATAATTCTTGAAGTAGCCTTTTTTAGGGACTGTGATGAAAAAGAATGAGGTTATAAACACATGATATTAAGTTTCAAGTTCTCATTGGGAGGAAAGAATTAATACAAATTTCAGTCTGCATTCATTGCCTATTTTCTCATTAGATAATAAAAGCTTGGAGATCATTGTCTGAGAGTGCTGTTGGTTAAACTTGGCTGGTTGTATTAAACTTGAAAACAAACACATTTTAAAAATGAAGACTGTTTAAACGGAGTATTCCTTATTTCTTAATTGGAAACTTTTTATATCTTGTGTGTGTGTGTGGTCTTGAATAAGTACTGTAATTTACTGTTTAAGGATGTATTAAAATGAAAGCTCAAATGTCTAGGTTTTTCAGCTGAACAAGCTTCTTAAAAACTAAACACAGGTCAAAATCCTATTGTTTACTGTAGTACATTGCATTAGAGTAGGTCTGTTGAATCAATGGAAATTTAGTAAGTCAACTTCTCCATAAATTCCATTGATTCAAATGCAACTTATGGAGAATCTGACTTAACAAATTCCCATTGATTTAGTGGGTCTAACTTACTGTGTTAAACAACAGGATTTTGGCCATACAATCATTAAAAGAAAGGAACATAAAATGATTAAAAGATAAAATAATACCCTGGATCTTCATTTTAATTTTAAAAGGATACTCTGCTAGATAGTGGATTGCTATTTGATATTAACTGTTGGCTATTCAGGCCTGATGAACCCTAGAACAGACTTCTTAGTCACACCCAGTCATTTATTATAATTTCCCCCTCTCATTGTGAAGGAATAGCCTTGGAGCTTCAAATGGCTGAACTGGCTTTGTTCTCATGCCAACTATTACCATATTCCTTTATTTCTGTAATATATTCATTAACTTCAAGGGAGGTTACCTACCTCAATTAGATGAAACTGAGCAAAACCGATTATTGAAAAACTAGATGCAAGGCCAATAAAACCAGTTGTGTTGTGCTTTCCTAGGCCACTGACTGATCGGATGGAGAAGATTTCACATTGTTAAAACAGAATTTTAAAATGTTGACTGCAGAAATTATATGCCTACTTTGCATATTCATGTCAGGGATTCATGTTGATTGCACAAATATTAAAATGTTCCACATTCTATTGTTAGTGGTAGCTGTGCTTTAGAGAAAACAATTTGCAAAAGGAAACTTTTTTGTGAATTCATGACAAATTTTCTTTCACTGCTTACTATGCAACATTGAGTATTTGTAGTTACCGGACGCTCTGCTAATATCTGGGAACAGAAATCTCTCTTCACGGGGAAAAGACCAATTTGCTGCTATTGTATCATCACTTACTTTATTCTCATCCCCCCTTTTTTTCTTAAGCTTTGCTTTGGATTACCATACGTATGAAGTTTTACTTTTTTTTAAATAGCTTTTCAAATTTGAGCATTTGAACATCTTAAACCAGCCAATATTATTCTCCTCCTTGGGATGCTATCTTATAGGTTAGATAATCAGTTTTCTTTCTTATGATTTAACATGAAGGTGGATCTGCCAATATTTTCAACTGCAACACTCTCATATTTCTTAATACATTTGTGGCGGGAGGTGGTAGTTGTGTTACACTTCTTTTAGTAGTTAAGAATTCTGAGTTTTCTAGACTGCATTTCTAGAACCACTAGTGACTTTAGAGTGAATATTTACATTTATGTAAAAGTTTAGTTGGTAACCTTTTTCTATCAGTTGTACACATAGTTTCCTATTTTGAAATAGAATTCCCTGCAATTGTAGTCAAATTTTAAAATGCTTTGTTTGCTTTCCCCCCTACAAGCACTGTCCTTTTCAATAGTTTCCATAGATTACTGTATTTTTAAGGGAAATTAATTTTTATAGCCACTAAACTGTACTTATTATTTTTGTACATGTATAACTAGGTCATTTGGGAACACAAATCTTTGAAAGGTCATTTTGTTCTATTTTTGAATACATTTATTTGCAGATGTCGTGTTGCTAAATGTTGCCATGAGAATCAGTATCTTTGCCATGCAGTGGAGGAGAAAAAATACTTGAGAAATGCTACTCCAGTAACCTTCCTAGATGCAGACTGCAGGCAGATCCATCTAATTGCTACTTACTGGCAGGTCTGATTAGATAGTGGGGTGGAGGGAGACTAGGAAAAAATGTAGGGCCAGTTACTTGTGCTCTTCTTACAGGGAGGAAGCACACAGGAATTTGATGGTTTCTTGATGTGGGCTGCAGCTTCCTGTCCGAATGAGGCAAGTTTTATACATTGATCAAAAGCAGATAAAATCTGGACTGTACAGTTTCAGCCTGCAACAGACAGGCAAACGGGCAGTATACATACACATTTTGTAAGGCTAGATTTTAATCCATCATCTTTCTGAGCATTTTGTGTCTCAAGGAATACTGCCTCTGGTGTAATATTTCAACAAGTAGTTCTCCCTCTGCATGTATATTTTGAAATAGTACAGTCCAGCAAAAGTCTTGCCATTTGAGTCTTCTGACTGAATGAATTGGAACTCCTGCTATTTGATTAATGGGAGTTGCCTTTATGCATGAGGTCAACAGGGTCTCCACCCTAAATCTGGTGCTGTGAGTGCCTGCCAGAAGCAAAAAGATATTGGAAATGCAACACTGTAATCAAGTCTGCATTTTGAAAAGCTTCAAAGCAGCTGCACAAAAGACTTAGAATATTAAATGCAACATACAGACCTGTACTGTAAGCAGACTGTGCCAATATTACTTCAGTTTGTATTCATTACTGATCAATACCTGTTTGAAATGAAAACACCTTTTTGATTTTAAAAAGTTGAATGTCTGAAATTCTGCAACACATGTATTCGAAAGATGTAAATAATATATACAGATTGTTGTAAGTGATGGGATGAAATATATATATATAAATTCTAGGCTTTTTCAGTAAGGAACTGAATGCTGTTTATAAGAAGAAAAATAAATAGCTATGTTTGACCATGATTGCCTTTTCCCCCCTTCTCATCCTTACAGATTTTTTTTCCTAGATGGACATTCACCATGTATCTGTGCATTGTACACATCTGAGCATTCCACGTACATATTACTATGTGTAATTACCTCATCTGGATTTCTGAACTACTTGTATTACAAACAGATCTAATAGCAATAAAATGAACCTGATCTCCTTCAATTTACTTAGCTCCTGATGCTGAAATGTTGGCAAAGGACTGCAGTCCTCAAAAGGGGAGACATGGCTATCCCAACGCTGTGCCCTTCTTTGACCCCATTAGGGATGGCTTTTTTATACAATACTCTTGCAGTAGAGTAGAGGCAGATCTGTGGCTCACCAGAAAATACAACAGAATTTGATTCCACTTTCAGTGCTGGACAGTAGTAGCTCTAATCTGAATGCATTAGGGAGAGCAGTGTTGGTGCTCTTTGAAAGACATAGACAGATTTCTGTCTAAAACTGTGAGGTTTAGAACAGTTAATACTAGGTATTTTAATTCCAGTCCAGTAGGAAGGACCATTTGCTAACTATCTGATTATGGGCTAAGCCTTTGTAAGGAAGATCTACCTAACTACATTTGTGACTTCAGAATAGAACATGCTTGCATCAAAGCATTAACACTACAGTTAACCCGGACACAATGAAAACAAAATAATGTCTTCACATGGGCAGAACTATAAATCTGACTTCAGGGTTCAGTTGCAAATAAAGAAGTATATGTTTTGACCCTTTGGCTGTTATCTTCTTCTGCAGTCCCTCTTAATTTTTTCCCTTAACTAAATCCTAATTAAGACCAGAAAGTCTTTCAAAACAAACAGCTCTTTCAGTATAAATAAACCTGCACATATTTATTTAAAAGAAAGTTCAAGTGAAGTTGATAAAGGTTAGTACTAGGCAAGTAGTTGTGGATGTTTATAAGAGAGCTGGCACACTTTCTGAACTACTAAAAAAATCGTTTGGGGTAAGCTGATGAGAAAGAAAACAGGCTTATGAAAGAATACAACATGTATGTAAGGTACCAATTTTTAAAGCCTTTGAAGTCTTCCGTAGCTGTTTATTGAGCATTTCAGAAGAGGTAACTGTGTTAGTCTGTGCTAGTATATCAGGCAAAAGCAAAATAATAAAACAATTTTATTTTAATGTGAGCTTTTGTAGACAAGTCTACTTCAGACGGAAGTGTGGACTTGCCCACAAAAGCTCACTTCAAAATATGATGGTTAGTTCTTTAAGGTGCCGCAACATTTAGTCTTCATTTTTTATTTTTTTGTTTTTGCCAGATATGTCTTGTTAAGAGGTGATCTGGGACGAGGCAAATAGCTAAATTCCAAACCCATTATTTACTTTGGACAGGCTGTCTTTCCCCTTCAAACTACCTGTGGTACTGTATAATCTCACATGCTATGTTTTGTTTCCAGAGTAGCCAGAATAGTATTCATGAGGTGAATAAGTTCCAGGGCAGATGTATGTGGCTGGGTTTCTGGCAGGCCATCTAAAGATAACACGTATCATGATACAACAACCACACTGAAACTGACAAAGCCTGGGCTCGTTGAAATCTGCTTAGAAACCCTATGTATGCATCCTCATATTCCATGCAAGGTTGTAAATCTTTTAAAATACGGATCCTGTAATGAATAGCCTGAGTAACTTTGATCCCAAAGGTGACTGAAGATTAAAAAGCAATTTATACACAATTTCAATAATAGCTTGCATTTCCTGTTAAGTTGGCCTTTACTGCATGCAACCACTAATTCTTGGGCAGTATGGTTGCCTAAGACAACAGTCTAGACAACAAATTTCCATGGATAACTAATTACATGTATTTTGCTTTCCTACTCTTCCAGCATTTGTTTCACATTTGCTATTTTCTTTGAAGAAGCAAGATCTTGGTGAGAATAGAATGTTCATCAGCATTTGCTGTTTCAAATCAGGAAACTGCTTAAAATCTCAATGAAGTTTGGGGACTCAAGCTTAGATTTATTTAATAGAGATGGGCACAAATGGCTAGTTTGTCAATTCATTCATTGCCTGAGCAGGTGTTTGGCCCTTCAGACCCTTGCCTCCTCTGGTGGGTGCCCACTTAGAAGCTTCCCTGCTCTGCTGCTTCCAGGCGCTGCTGGAGGAAGTGATGCTTTGAAGTGCCAAACTCCTCTTTGGGCGATAAACTGCAAAAGTGGTGGTTCATTCCCATCTCTACTATTTACCAATATCTCAAGTGTCCTGTATCTCAACTTTCCTTTTTTTAAAAGTTTTTTTTAATGACAATCCATTAAAAATAACAGAATCATATAAATTAAAGTATAATCACAGTAATCTTTTTATAGACTCATACAGTCATAGCTTAGTGGCTTAGGCATCTGGCTGTGGAGCCAGAGGTTGGGGGTTCAATTCCTCACTGTGCCTCCTTGATAGGGGCTAGACTCGATCTATAGGGTCCCTTCCAACTCTTACCATTCAAAGAATATCCAAGATTACATGCTGTATGCACAACAGTAATGTTATTTTTTTAAGCCACCTAAAATTTCTTTCCATAGCTCATTATCCATATTTTATATCTAATTTAACAAAACTTAGTTAACCAGTTTTCTTTTTTAAAAAAAAAATTCTGGCACCTTTGATTGACCTCACACTTCATTGTTCTCTTTGTAGCAACTCAAAAATACATACCATTTTACAAAGAATAAGATTGGCACGTCCCTGCCCTACAGGGAAGCACAAGATTAAAATAGGAAAGAAAATTGAAGTTGAGGTTATACTTTTAATTCTTTCAGGGGAAATCATATTTAAGAAACCTGTTTCTGGGCCCAACTCAAAGGGCAGGTTCTAAGTGGCTAGTTGCTAGGCTCTGATCACACCTCAAGCCAGACACTAATTTATAGCCAAGCAATTATTAATTATGGGAGGGAGGAGGGGACTGCACTCCCAGAATCCCACAGCCAGCCTGGCTGCTGAAGGATTCAGGGAATTTTGGTGAAAAAAATTAGTTTACTAAGGGCTTGTGCTGGATGTACTCACCAAGATTCTCCCAGAAAATTAGGTGTCATGGATGGCTCCTGAGGAGGAGAGATTTTAAGTCCCAGTATCTCAGGTTTCGAATGCCTTCCCCAGATATTTCCACAGGGTAGGTCTCTTAGCCTGCATAGAATACCGGAAGCAGTGGGCTTATACAAAATACAGATACTTATATCAGGTATTGTTAGCCTTTAAGATGCCAAGAGTCTCTTTGTTCTCCTTCAGAGACACACACCTTGTGTCTGTGTTGTGGTATTTTTCAGGCAGGGTGAAGATCTGATGCAGCTGTATCTTAATCTCAAACTCTCTGTAAGCATTCATATTTTAAAGCTGGGGTTTGTAAAATTTCCCTTGCCATTGTGAGCCGCTGCTATTGGATTCATTCTCTGCTCCTGGTTTATACTATGTTAGTTTCCATGTTTATTATTTTATCAGTGCACTAAATACCCGTATTTCGTTGCTTTTAATTTTTATTGAAACCACCCACCAAAGTTTTTATTTTTTTACAAGGATCTGAGAGGGAAATGGCACTTGGCCCGAAGAGAGTATTTCGACCATAAGAAACTTATCTTTCTCAAAAGCAGTTATAAAAAACCTTTGCCCTTAATATTTCTTAGACACACACACACACACACACACATCACTTGGCCCGAAGAGAGTATTTCTACCATAAGAAACTTATTTCTCTCAAAAGCGGTTATAAAAAACCTCTGCCCTTAATATTTCTTAGGCTCACACATACAAAAACAAACAAACCCGGAGACAAAATATCAAACAGGGCCGCAGCTTCCTTGTTAGTTCAGTTTTATTTCTCCTTGACCCTTCCCCCCCCCCCTTCTCTGGCTATCGGTCAAGGAAGAAAATGTTGGCCTAAAAGTCTGGTTGGGTGCCATGGCAACCGCACAGGAAGTCTGTGCCGGCGGATGTGTTCTCCGCTCAACAGCTTCCGCTGCAGCTGCATCCGTTGCTCAGCGTGCGCTTCATCTTCCCTTCCCCTTCCAAGCCGGCCTCCTCACCGGTTGGTTGGAGAGGAGCGATGCCCGCTTTCTTTTTTTCACGAACTGCAACGCTTTCTCTTTCATTGAATGCTTTCTGACCCTTCCGGGCACCTGTAGGCAGGGGAGAGACCAATGGAAGGGGGGGCCGTTGGGCGGGTGGGAACGAGAGGGAAGCCCGCGTGCGGGGAGGGTGGGGAGAGAGAAAAGGGCCTCGCCGGTGACGTCATCGCGCGGCGTATCCAATCCTGAAGGACCCCGCGCCCTTTTCGAACGCCGGCTGCAGAGGCGAAAAGGGGATTGGCGCGCTCAAGATGCCGCCGAGGGGGGCGGGGTTACTTTTTCCCGCGGAGAAAGAAGCGCCTCTCGCTGATTTTTGTCCTTCTGTCCCCACCGTTTTCTCCAGCGGCTGCCCGGTCCGGCGGTAACCATGGCAACTCCTCCTAAGCGGCCCCGGGCCGAGAGCGGCATCAAGAAAATCGCTATCGAAGGCAATATCGGTAAGAGGAGTTGGTGGGGGCGGCGGGCGGTATTTTCCTCATAGTGGGACTGTCTGGAAAAAGGTAAGGTGGGGGTGGGTGGGTCAGCTGCTTTTCTGTGGGAACCGGCTTTGAGGTGAGGAAGAGGGAAGGTACTCATGAGAGGAAGCCCCCTGGATGGGGGGCGGCGGTCTCCACCCTTCGTAGCCCCGGAAATCTGCCTGTCGCTTCCCTGAGCAGGTGGGGGCCGTTTCCTGTCTGATTGATTGGTACATCCTTAAACATATTTTTTGTAGGAAAAAAAACTCAGCCTTTTCATGGTGTTTTTCCAAGGAAGCTGTTTCCTAAAGCTCTGTGTGTGTGTGTGTGTGTGTGTGTGTACACACACATACACATATAGTACAATTTCTTAATCCAACCGTTAAACTGAACTGTAAAGGAAGCCTGATTAAACGCAGCTGTGTATCTGCTTGCATTCCCATCTGCCAAAAGGGGAAAAAAAGAAAAGGACCCACAACACACAAACTTCCCTCTGGAAATTATTATTAGTTTACTTACACAAGACAGGATCCTGCTGGGAGGAACACTCTGGGTTTTCACAAGTGACAGGAAAATGCATAGCAAGGCATTCCTGTTCTACGGCTATCATAAGGACATGCAGAAAACTCAGCACTTTTGAAATGTATAAGCCTCTGAACTTGGGAGAATATACAGAGCCTGCGTTTAAAACTGACAGATAAATTATGTATTCTGAACTGCCCACTTTTTGACACCCCCCCCAAAGCTATGTTTGTAAGGTGAAAATGTTACATCATTAACTCTGGCAGCGTTTGCTAATTGCTAGTGCATCAGGGATAGACTATATGTTTATTTAAAAGAGGTTCTTCCTCTCCCCCCTGCTGCCATTTATTTAGCTCCTCAGAAGCTTGTTTCTCTCAGCAGAAAAAAGAAAAGAGTCCACCAGTGGCAATTACTATACATCATAGGTTATATCGCTCAGCACTTCCTGTTTGTTAAAATGTGTTCTCGGAATGGCTCATTTTCAAGGTGAGTTGAACCAGTACGCTTGTTAGGAACTTCCTAATACCTAAAAACAATGGCCAGTAATACTTATCTGAACCAGTACGCTTGTAAGGAACTTCCTAATACTGTACCTAAAAACAATGGCCAGTAATACTTATTACAAAAGGTTGCATTAGTAGATATTGTGTTGTGATTAGGTTAGGAAGAGAAGAATCTGGACCAAAACCTGCATGCCCACAATAATGTGAAACTGCTAGGAAAGAGGAGCTACACAAAAGTAGGGACAAAGGTAGAATATAAAGCAGGGAGAGGGTGTTCTTTGGCCCTCCAAATGTTATCAGATCTCAGTAGCCCTAGCTATTGTAGGCATTGGTGAGCGATTAGAGGAATTAACGATAACTTTTGGAGGATTGAAAGTTCCTTATCCTGGTTTAAAGGTTCCAAAGAGGAAGTGCATCAGATGCTCCATAAACATTGCCTTATTGTATACAGTATATGACACACTGAAAACAGCTAGACTGATACCACCTTCTATATGCCCACATTTATTCTCCTTTTTGTTTGTTTGTATCTGTTACGTGTGGTGCCCTTTCTGAAGTTGTGAGCATGAATGATCTGTAATCTGTAGGAGGAGTCACTATGAAGTACAGTGTGGAAGGAAGTGACTGGGAAGAACTTGTGGCCTTGAATCAAAGGCATGCATGTTTCTTGTTACATCTTTGAAAAGAACTTTACATTTTAAAAAGCATTAGACAAATCTATAGAGGCTATCAGTGGCTGGTAAACTTCGTAGGAATATACTGTATATTAATTTCAGTAGCAAACACTAAATAGCAGGGAACGGCAGCTAAAAATGTCTGGTGAATCACAGTGCCAGAATCTTATTATTCAGTAAAGCATATTTTTTTACCTCTACAGCTGCAGGAAAGTCTACTTTTGTCAGTATTCTCAAAGAAGCCAGCAAAGACTGGGAAGTTGTTCCAGAACCAGTCGAAAGATGGTGCAATGTTCAGACCTGCCAGGATGTCTGTGAGGTATGAATAAATAAGGTATATCTGATCAAGATAGGAAAAAGACTTCAGGGTGCAATGGTGGGATGCAATGTAAATTGCCCCATTTGACGCTAGATCAGTAGTTTTATATATTTTTCGATTCATAATGTGCTGTAAGCCGAAGTTTTAAATTGTCTGTTTCTAAAAAAGGAATGAAACAACCTGGTAACAAAAAATAAAAATGCAGAAGTAGAACTGCAGAAATAAGTAGTTTCTTTATGCAAAGTTGCTCTGTTTGTATAATTGTATAGAGAAGAATTTTTGTGTTCTGACCGTATACTGGTTTTCTTTATTATCACTATGTATAAACCTCTGCACGGTTATCTGGGCTTAAAATTCATATGCTTTTGCCATCATTCCTGGTTCAAAACTAATGGGCTAGAAATAAAGATCCACTGTAAATAAATTTCCCTATGTTTAATGCTAGTGCTCTCTACTGGTCAAAGTAAAAAAATAATGAGAGACAGACTGCTAGCAGTTCAGGATCATTTTATCTTGCTCGGAGACATAGACTACCATTTTACTGTTGTCTGAATTCATCACCTATTATATTTTGCTTTTAAGTATTTTGGAAAAGTTATTTACAAATATTTTTAAGATGCTTTAGTGTGGTTTTATGTAGCTTTGATGTAGTCAGAATTCTGGAGGATTCCTAGTTTATTGTATATAAGCAGTATGTTTTAGAGTCTGCTTGGTTGCTCTTCTGATGCAAGCAGTAGTAATTAGCATGCATCAGCACACAGTCTTGTTCTCTAAAAATCAAGAACTTGAATTCTTGCTTGTCCTAACATCTAATTACAGCCCATTATATATGGTCATATGCAGCTGCTAGCTAGGTTGTAATACTGTATGTACCATGCTCATCTATTCAGGTTTTCAAAAATAATCACTCAGTGAAATAAGAAGCTAAAATATCTCTAAATGGAGTAATCTGTATTTAAATACTTTTTCTGTTCCTTTTTAAAATATATTCACATGGATTTGAATTATTTCTAGTAGCCGCAGCTACTACTATGTATAAAAACATTTGTTTTCAAGTCCAATTCTGCATTGAAGGAAATGTCAGAAGCATAGATGATTGCATCTGAATCAGCAGATATATGGTTTTTTCCAAACAGGGAAAGAACTAAATTGCAAGTTGCAAAGGGGGTCCATGAGCCCAAAGCCTGCTCACCTTACTGTGGTTTGGCGTTTTGATGTTTAATGTGAACCAAAATATATGAAACATCTAGAAACTGATATCTGTTAATGTATACTCTGCATATATCTAATATCGCTAGTTTTTCTTCGCATGGCTGAATTTCATACCTTTATGACAAAGGACATTTGCTCTGTGTTTTACTAGTATAGTCAGTGCTGACTCCCCTGTTTTACTAATTTGTTAGTGCTCGTTTATGTACGTGGAGGCTCTTACTAGTAAAGGTGATCATTGCTCGCAGTTATAAAGAACAAACTTCTAATAAAAGTTTAAATTATTTTTTTTTAAAAAGGAAGAAACTTTTCATTCTCATTGTTTTATTGCTCTCACCATCTTGGTATGTATGATGGACTGAAGAAATAAAATGATTGGAAGTAGCACAGTTTTGGCCAGCTATATCTTAAGAATTGTACTGGAAGCTTTCATAAGACGAAAGGAGCATTAGGCAAATGCTGTCTTGCTTACTTTGTTTTGTTTTTTTGAAAAGGAGCTGACAGCTTCGCAGAAGAGTGGTGGCAACTTACTCCAGATGATGTACGAGAAGCCAGAAAGATGGGCCTTCACTTTCCAGGCTTATGCCTGTCTGAGCAGAATTCGAGCTCAGCTCAACTCTCTGGAGGGGAAGCTCAAAGAAGCTGAGAATCCCGTAGTCTTCTTTGAGAGATCTGTTTACAGTGACAGGTGAGACTGTATTTTTGGCTTATTTGGTCCCTTGGTCCTTGCAACCCATTCAGTTTGACAGGCAAAAGCTTTCCATTTTTAGTTCCTTGGAAGTGTGGTCCTGAGGCCAGAATAGCTTAGAGGGAAAATGTACATGTTTAGAAGTAAGGATGTGCAGACAATCCCCTGCATCTGGTTTGTGCCTAAATAGATTAGACCTTTGGTCTAGATGGGTGGGGTAGAAGTAAATCTGCACAGACTGTGACCAATCTGCCCTGTGCCCTGTTGGTTACATTCCAACCATGCACTTGTTTAGGTGCATGACAGTATCTGTGTGCTTTTTATTCTCCGGGAAGACTGTTCTTGTGAACGGGGAAATGCAAGGAGCAAGGCCTGATTATAGGCTAAATGGTGCAGACAAGACAGAAGGGCACACATGGCACTCTGCAAAGATGGACACTTTTATTTTTATTTCCTACATTTTTCAAGCCACCAGGAGAGACCCTCTCAGTTTTCTAAAGCATTCACCATGAAGTGAGTGAGTGAAGAGCTTTAAAAGGAAGTGGGCATGATCATTTTTGATTTCTTCTCAAAGGGACAATTTAGCCTGCTCTACTACACTTTCTATCCATTCTATCTGCCCCCTCCCTTCCTGTTCTGTGGATCTGAAATTAGTAGTGCTACAGTCCCAAGAATTTGATGATTTAATTGATGACTTTACATTGGGAAACAGGAGTAGTAAGCCTTCCTGGACGTTGTAATTCTTCAGTAGGCATCCTCTATAGAGCCTAATGGGCAGTGAGAATATGAGTTCTGAAGTCCTCCACACCCAGGGGGAACCACTCCTGCTGATCGTCACCCCTGCTGTTATGTGATTGTCCAGTGGGGAGAGAACCTTTTGGATACAGAAGATTCTGGGAGTCGTAATCTTGCCTCCTATTAGGCATTATAAAGTGCACCTCCCAAAGGCCTATGGTTTTCAGGTAGCATTACGGCAGCTTCCTTTTCTTAAAAGTAGAAACAGGATGCAGAAGGCAGCGATGGAGGTAAATAACCAGAATGCTGGTCTGCAGAATTATGTTTCTGGATTGTACTTCCTAGAATTTAGTCTGGGAATTCCTGGAGGATTCTGGGGGTTGTAGTCCAAAGATTTGAAAGAGTACACTCCTAGTAGGAAAAGCTTATTTCTAAGATAGAAAGTGTGCTCTCCATTATCTTTGAGTTCTTCATTCTTTCTAATTTTTGATCATGTGTGGATACTAAGTTTAACACAGGAAATCCGTGAGCAAGCTGCTCTGCCCTATTTCTATCTCTGCACACTTTGCTTTGCCCCCATGATTGCCCCCGAAAACACACAGATACCCCTGACTAGTTCATTTTTGCATATTTGTCTGAATACAGTATACATCCCTGTTTAGAAATGTGTTGTGATGGGAGGCAGCAAGTGGTGTTAGTGGCTCTGTCATGGGCTGCAAGCTGAAGTGTTGGTTTCTGTTCCTGGCATTCCCTTGTTTTGTATTGCAGCCGATACATTTGGTTTTGCTTGTGGCTTGGGTGTTGATAAACAGCTGTCTTGGAATCTCCTGACAGCTGCTTCAAGGCTACATTTGTGCAGCAAAAAATGACTGAGGAGATCATAGTACTATAGAGTCATTGAGTTGGAATAATTGAATTAAGGCTATCGAGTCCAGCCCCCTGCTCAATGCAGAAATCCAAATCAAAGGAGGTCCGCTGGATGGTTGTTTAGTTTTATCCGGAATGCCTCCAGCTTTGGAGCACTCGCCTCCTCACTAGGTCATTGGTTCCGTTGTCGTACTGCTCACCTCCTCACTAGGTCATTGGTTCCATTGTCGTACTACTCAAACAGTTAAAGACGTTTTCCCTGATTTTCAGCCTAAATCTGACTTCCTGTAGGTTGATCCCATGATTACGCGTCCTGCACTCAGTGATGATCGCACTCTGAGATGATGTGATTGCCGTTTGTTGAAGCACCTTGGTAGTTCAACAAAGGGCATTCCATGCAGACGGCTTGATCAAGAATGGGGAAGCTGCAAGATCAGAAGCATTGCCTTGGATCCAAGTTCTGTGGAAAGGGCAGGATGCAAATAAAATAAGAATAAAGAAATAAAAATAATGCTAGTAAACTGTTGTACTGGTTCTTAATTTGTAGTCACCCTTCCTATTGTGAATGAGAAGGCACTTTGAATATGCTCAGAATAGTATTCTTCGTTAACTGTGAAGCAACTATTAAACACACAGACATATTATTCATACATTTCTAATGTTGAATACATTTCTAATGTTGAATGCATTTCATATTCGTTGTAATCAACTGTTCTATTAAACCAGTCCTCAAGATATCTAGAAATACAGTGAATATTAATCTGTTGAGCTGTATTGTCAGCGCTTAGGTAGCCAGTTCTTTGTCTTCTGTCCCAGGTAATCTGCTTATAAACAGTATGTTTCAGAAGGGTTAGGGGATGACACTGAACTTGACTTTCTCTGTTCTCTCTAGGTATATTTTTGCATCTAGTCTGTATGAGTCTGACTGTATGAACGAAACTGAGTGGACTATTTACCAAGATTGGCACAATTGGATGAATCAACAGTTTGGACCACATCTTGAACTGGATGGCATTATTTATCTCCGAGCTACTCCTGAGGTAGGAATTGAAATGTTACCGGCAATTCAGATGCTAGAATAGGTGTGGTTTGGCTTTAGTCTTGCAAGGCTGACTTTTTAAATATATTTTTAAAACAGCTCTGAGATCACCAAATGGAATTGGGTACAAATCGGTAGCTCAGGAGAATGGAGTCAGTTACGTGCTTGACACTGAGTTCTATATGTTTCCAACGAGAAAGGTGCCTCTGGTTTGCTGTGTATCGGATATTCTAATAAACTAATTTAGAAGGGTGTAGGTTAAAGCTGTTTTGCTACTTCTAATGCTGGAAACAATTGAGATAAACACATTCTGTCCTACAGCAAATCACCCAATTATCAAACAGTAGATTTAGCCTACCTCTTGAAGTAAGCTGTATTAACTTGCAGAGTTCAAGCCCTTCTCTCTTCCCATAAATCTAAAAAATGTGTATATTCACAGAACATATTTAGTTATTTCATTAGTTAGTTCATTCGTTGTACCCATAGGGGACCCAGGGCGGCTCACAGCAGAGAAAATAAAAAATTTAAAACCACCATATAAATGTCACAGATATGTTACTCTAGATTTTCCCTTGGCCTGCAAAGCCTAAACATCTATAAATGTTCTTTGCTATATCTTCCAAGCCTGTCCAGGTAATGAGAATAAGAGCGAGCAAAAGGAAGCTTTTTCTGCTTCCATTCTTTTGCTTAGTATTGACAGTTTGAAATAGTCCACTGAAAGGCTTCAGAATTAGTGGTTAGTCCTTTGCTGCTGCTAAAGGACTTGCTTTGGGAGAGGTCCAGTTTCTGTAGGGCTCCAAAAATGTCTGTAATCTCAGCCTCCCCTTTGACTTCAGAAGGTATAAGGACAACTAAAAAAGTTTCTGACACCTGACTTCTAAAGGCTGTAAAGGCCATTGCCCTCTCTGACTTTCCAGAAGTCACAAAGTAGGGTTGAAGGAGAGCGTAGGTGAGAGTGCCCCTTTGCTTTAACCCTTCATGTTTTAGGCTTTCTGCACTTCTCTGTCTTCTATTTGTACATCTGTGAGGATTTGGCTTTAGGCTCCTCTTTTGGTTCAAAGAAATCAGTAGATTTTTGTGGCTTCAAAACAGGTGAAAGATTTATTGGTGCATTTAACCATAAACAAGTGTCTGTGACATGATTAAGAGTCTTTTCTCCTTCTGCCAACGGATCCGGAAGGGGTCTCCAATCTTCAAACAGGAACAGGTTGCCATAACTATTGTTCCATGGTTCCGGTCAATCAGCAGGGACCCAGTCGCTCACAGTCTGCCCTGTCGAACCTTTCAGCAAGGACACGGTCTCGTCATCCCGATCGCCATTCCACAGGGTTCGTCTCTCGGGATCTTGATCCTCCCAGGGTCCTCCCTGTAGTTCTTCCTCATCTCTCTTAATCTCCATTCTAACTTCTCCCTCTTTTCTCTCTCTCCTCTTTCCTTCTCTTCTCTCAAACAACAACTCCACTGTCTCGCCTCGGCTTCTCCCCAATAGTTTATTTTTATTTATTTATTTTATTTATATCCCGCCTATCTAATCAATTAAGACCACTCTAGGTGGCTTACAACAACAAAAAACAACAATGTAATTAAAAGCAATTTTACATAAGGGAAAACTTGCAGCAAGATGGAACAGACAATAGGGAGTGGAGAGAGAGGGGAGATCAGGAATTGACTAAGGGGAAGGCCTGCTGAAACATCAGTGTTTTTAGTTGATTTTTTAAAATGCCCAGCGAGGGAGCTGTGCGAATATCAGGAGGTAGGTTATTCCAGAGGCGAGGAGCCACCGCCGAGAAGGCCCAATTTCTTGTCTTTTCTTTCCGGGCCTCCCTCGGCGTTAGGCTCCTCAGCCTCACCTCCTGGCTCACGCG